TTTGGTCTGGGCCCGAGGTGGGCTTAATAGCCGGCGACTACTGTAGTTGGCCTTTTGTTGGAACACTGTCCATGAATTTTGCCCATTATCTATCCCTTATTAAATGTCTGCCACATACAGCAGACCGATGCATGCTGGCGTTCTGTTACGGCGTTTGTGGGTCGCGTTGATAGTGATGACCAATAAAGAAACATTGGGAATTCCCGTTTCTCTCCTTTTTTCAGCAGTTCTGTCAAATCAAATGCCCTTTGTATCAATCCTTAGGGTGCGGGTGGAACCAAGAGGGAAGTAAATGAAACCAATGGATCGCTGTAACGACCATAGAATCGGAACTTTTGCCTCAGACAAGCTTCGGGCGCAAAAAGTATTGGCCATCGCTTGGTTCCCGAAGTTATGCAGCCAATTACAATTTTTAAGGCATTGCCTCTTACTGAGGCTTCATTCATCGGACCGTGGTACTGTACGGTAGTTTGGGAATGTTAGGGAACGATGGGATAAAGCAGCGATTCGTGTCCTCGTCTGCGTCGCGTTTTTTTTTGTGGAAGTTTCCGTTACTCTACGTTGTAGGGCAGACCAACGCGTGCTAAAGCGACCTTAATGCTAACTGCGAACATTTCTACTCTCCATTCGCCTTCCTTAGTGCGGAAAAGTGCAGTTCTGGACTTTGAATTTACCTGTTGCTCGAAAACGTTGCTACTAGTACTACTGTTATTGTGTTACTAATATTGCTGTTTCTGCTGTTGCTGCTAATTTTAATATTGTTACTACTATTACAACCAATACTACAATTTCATTTATTAATATTGCTACCACCGTCATTACTTTTATTATTACTATTTTAATAGTACTAATATTACTCCTACTATTAAGAGCACTGCTATTTCTCATATTGCTACTGTTATCACTACTACTAATACTGCTTCTATAACTGTTGGTACTATTAATATTACATCGACGACCACTGCTGCTTTTACTGCTATCCTTATTAATACTGTTGCTGTTATTATTATTACTACTGCAACTATCACGTCTACTACTACGTTCGCTATTACCAGTGCTACTAAACCAATACTGTCATTACTTTTACTACTGATGACAATAATATTGATCGTAAGCCGTACTATAAAATTTATATATGCATCTGCAGGTGTCAAGAGAACGTTAGTTAACAGCGTATAAAGAGAAACGACTTGAGTTGGCACCCTGTTTCAGGTCTGATTAATTCGGTCGGCCATTTCAAAATATGTTAACTAAATGTGGACTAATTAATTGCTTTCTATTGCATTTATGCGTCCGTTCAGATGGTGATGGCTTAAGCCCCGGTGAACGGAGGCTTAGTTCGAGGCGATACTGCCCTTTTTGTAATTAAAAATGCAAATACATCCCTGTAGGAAAACTCTCGCTAAACTGCTGCTGCTGTTTTTTTTGTTTGCAGTCGCCCGACCGAGGGTATGAGCGGCTGTCAAATCTTCTCGGAGCCTGCTTCTCCGAAACCCTCTGTGGAGACGCTTCGGATTGAGTGGCCACTGGCTACTCTTCGTCAATTTGCCTTCCATAAGTGCCTCTTTAAGATGGAGACGGGGCGAAAGGCGCCCTACGGTGAGGGCCACTACCTCTTTCGACTCAAACAGCTCGGCGAGTTCCGCCAGACGCTGGAGGTGCGTTTGCTGCGTTTTTTTACTTTCACTTTTTTAGTAGTATTACTGGTACCGTGTGCAGTAGACGCCACCTCCCCCCCCTTCAATATGCCCAAGCCTTGCATTTTTATGATGATCATTCGATACAACTCACCAGGCCGTCCAACGAGCGA